TCCCTCTAGGAATGATGAACCTGTTTTCCACCACCACCACCATATGTTAGAGGGGGGAGGGAGGTGGAGGAGGAGGAGGAGGAGGAGGAGAAGGAGGACCCCCTTCCACCTCCTTACTTACTTATGGTGGTGGTGGTGGTGGAAAACAAGCACGCCAAGGAAGCCTTTCCCCCCTCCCCGTGCCCCGTCTGTGCGCGCGCCGCCAAATATTGGGGGAGGCAGCTTCGAGGTGCTGCCGGGTCCGAGGAGGTTCTCTCTGCCCCGCGGGCAGGGGGGACTCGAAGGCTCGAGGTGCGACGCTCGAGCTCGAGAGGATCGAGAGAACCCCAGCATTAAGTCGAGCGTGTCCCTCTACAGGAGGAATATTCAAAACTAGTCAAAACATAGTCCTGGGATGTTCTGGTATTTTTGCGAATAGTCTGGCGGTATTTCCAACCGTTCGTCGAGAATCGGCCTCTAGGGGGACATGCCCGACCTGACCCCAGCAGCCTCCTCCCAAGAGCCCCGCGCCGCATCCGGGGGAGGCGCTGCAGGGTCCGAGGAGGTTTTCTCTCTGCCCCGCGGGCAGGGGGGCTCGAAGGCTGGAGGTGCGACGCTCGAGATCGAGGGGATCGAGAGAACCCCACCAGTCACCACCCACCAAACCACCCCAACCCAACCCGAAGGCCTAAATTTGCCCTCCATTTCCAGTTGGGGGGGGGGTCGGGAAACGTCGAAAAAACACATGTGGAACCCTTACCCCCCCCAACCCGAAATCCGGGTCTTCGGGTTGGGTTGGGGTGGTCTGGTAGGTAGTCAACCAGCCGCCTTCGAAGAGGAGGCGGGGTCCGAGGGCGTCTTCTCTCTGCCTCTTCGAAGGCCTCGGGGGGCCGTGCCTGGGCCCGCCGGGAGCGCGTCCAGCACGCGCCCAGGGCGAACAAGCGCACGGGTCAAAAGGAAGTCGGGCCCGTCCCTCTCCAGGGGGAATGCTCAGAAATGATCGAACACATAGTACGGGGGCGATTTTTTATTTCTGTTTGCCCATCTGGGGGGCACGATTTGCGTATTTTTCATTGTTCTGCCAAAATCTCCCTGTAGGGGGCAGGCCGACCTAAGGTTAGAACGAAAACCCATGGTCAAACCAAAAGCCCGATGGCTACAGCAATGAACCCTCGTTTTTGTTCACCGTCGTTTTTTTTGTTCTCTCTCTCTCTCTCTCCTTTTTTCAAAGCCCTTGAACCCCTCCCCTCGTTTTTTTAGGTCTTATCTCCGGTGGATCCCTGCAGCGGCCCGGGAGGCCCCTACCCTCCAGGGAGGCCCTTCCTCTCCAGGGAGCTCGGGAGGATCTCAGATCGGCGCGGGTCCGACGCGAGTTTTGCGCGAATCCGACACGGATTCGACACAGATCGGGGAAACGTAAGGCTCGAGTAAGCCGGAGCTCGGGTTTCCTGACATTTTTTGGCGAGCGCGTCCTGATTTTTGACGGTCCAGTTTTCGTGGGATGTTTGCAGCGGGAGCTCGCCTCAAATTTCAGATTGGGTCTTGTCAATTTTATGATTGCCCCGTCAGGCCAACCCGAGTCCCCCATACCCGAGTCTTACGCCTCCCCGAACAGATTCGACGCGTTCGGCACGGATCCGATACGGAGGCGACACGGATGGCTGGCGCGATGGTGCAGACGCAGGAACCGTATCCTTACAGCCATGGCCAGTACTATTGATTCCAGCCCTCCCAGACCGGGTCGGAGTAGATGGGGTCGGCGGATCGAGCCGCATCGCCGATGCATCGGCGCTGCGGCTCGACTTGGGGCCAGATATTTTCTCCACGCCGACGGCGTCAGTGCGTCGCCGATGTCGCCGATGCATCGCCGATCCATCGGCGCTGTACCCCTCTCCCTGACGTGCCCAGCGTGCCATGGAAGGGGGCGGTGTGCTGATCCAAGGGATCTTCGCGGACCTCCGAAAGTTTATGTTCATGCAGTGTTTTCTCTTCGTCTGCGCATGCTGCTACTTGTGCCTAACATCGGCTCTCGACCAGCTGCTAGCGCGCTGCGCGCCTAGAATGGGTACCTACAGCCCCGTTTGGGCCGAGTCCCTGTCTCGGAGTCCGCGCTCGCGTGGCCGCCAAGCGCAAGGCACTCAAGCACGCGCGGTCATTCAGAGGTGGAGATTGATCAACAACTATCGTCTGAGGGATCGACCTTCGGGTACCTCTGCAGGCGGAGGCTTCCCCGTCTTACAGTCATGGCCATCTGAGCGGACGATATCCAGATATGCTTTGCCGAATGTGTGTTCATGCGTTTCGGAGAACATTCCCCCCCAAGGATAGTGGGATAATGTGGTAACCGACCGATCGCTGGTCATCGGCATTTCCATCCATTTACGGAAGCAGGGCCGATTTCGGTCCGATCCATCCGAGTCGATCTCGATTCCGGCTGGCTCGATCCGACCGATTCGATTCCGATTTTGCAGAGATCCCATGCGGCCTGATTTCTACGTGAGGTTGTTGTGCCTCCTGGCGCGGCTGGCCCGATCCGCTTCCGATTCCGTGCCGATACCGCCCGATCGGACTCGCGCTCCGATTCGATCCGATTTGACACTGACTGATCCTGTGGACGGGAGGGGGTCAGAGGGGGAAAAGGTACCGATGCCCGTTACCCTTCGGCCGCTTTCCCCTTTTTTCGGCCTCCTGGGAAGCCCTCGTCGCCACCACTGGATTCGCCTCGAAATCCTGGTCAGAACGCACCCCCGGGAGAGGTCCAGGGAGTAACGTTAAGTCGGGCCGGTCCCTCTAGAGGAGGAATGCTCAAAAATAGTAAAACAAATCGTCAGGGGACGTTTTTTGATTATCTTTAATTATATTGGGGGTATGTTTGGAGTGTTTCCAACTTTCGCTCAAAATCCGCCTGTAGGGGGACACGCCCGACTTAAGAGTAGCGGTAGCAGTACCTTTTGGTTTCCCCCCGCTGGGGGAGGCACGCGCTGCCGTCACGCCCAGGACGCCGCCGGGCTGCGCGGCGAGCTCGACAGGCAGCGCGCACTGTTGGACTCCATGGCCGCGCAGCTGCGGGCCGAGCAGGCGCGCGCGAGGAGGCAGAGGTCGGGATCGTTTAACCAGTCCCCATCCCCATCCCCATCCCCTTCGTGACCCCCCACGAATCTACCACCTCAGTTTGGGATACACCCCATCGAAGCCCGAAAGAAACGACCTATATCCCCATCTAGGGAGGTAAATCGGCCAGTGGGGCCCAGGCCACGCCGCTGGGGATGGGGATCGGATACACGATACTCAAGAGGCGGGAGGAAGGGAGCGATGAGAGACGGGCAGGATTAGAGGGAAGAGGATGAGAGCGGTACCGGTGATAAGGTTGGGCAGCAGGAGATCGAAAATCAAGGAACCCCTGGCCCTAAGAACACAAGGAAGGCGTACCCTCACTTAGGTCCCCGTCTTTGCGTTAGGCATAATCAAACTGGGTAGTTTGGTTCGATATGGACTTCTTTTTTTGACAGATTTTTTTGACCTCTCAACTTAGGTCAGCTTCCAATGGCCCAAGGGTTACTGGTCCTTGAATTAGTAGCCACAACGATAATTGAAATGGGCGATCATCGGTTCGGCGGGACTGGCCGATTACGCGATTGGTTTCGATCTCAGCCTGATGTTGCCCAGGGCAGGTTTGAAGGGACCCTGCGCAGTATTTGGAATAGTCTGCCAAGCCTCTCAACGGGGTGGCACTCAGCCAGTGCAGCCCCGCAACCATGTTCAGAACATTCGGTGTGATCTTTGTCAATGCAGTAATCGGTATGTGCGTGCGGATGAGAGCCATACGCATCTGAATTCCTATCGGTTTGGGCGGATTCCAAATTCGTAGCGCTGAGCCAGCGATAGGGCGACTGCATGGGCACGCGGGGTCATGTGGCGGAGTGCTGGACCCGCCAGGCCGCATTACCCCAACCTGCCGTGCCCTGCGTGCCCTGCAGCGGCCATTCGCCGCTTGCCCTGCAGCGCCTGCGTGCCTTGCCCCGCCATGCCATGCGCCCACGTGCCCTGCCCTGCCTTGCTCACTTCTGACGCGGCTTGCGCTGCCCCGCCTCGCTGTTCCCTCGTGCCCTGCCGTTCTCTGCCCCACCACGCTCGCAAGTACGCAGCCTTGCACCGACCCGCCCGGCGCTGCCGTGCCGCTGCCTGCCGTGCTCCGCCCTGCCCTGACGTCCCCTTGTCGTGTTCCCTTCGCCTTGCCCTGCTCCGCCCTGCCCCTCCTCTTCAGTGTCCTGCGATGTCCTGCCCTGCCTTCCTTGCCCTTCGCTGCGCTGCCCTGCCCTGGCAGCGCCTTCCCCCATGGCACTCTGCAGCCCTGCAGTCCGCGCGTCCAGCTGTGAGGCCCTGCCCTGCTGTAGCCTGCGCTGCCCACCCCCTCCTGGCTCTCCCCTGCGCCGCCCCGTCGTGCACGGACCAGCGCCCTGCCCTCCGCCGCCCTGCCCCGTCCCGTCCCGCCCGGCCCTGCCCTGTGCTGTCCAATCCTGCTCTGCCCTGCCGTGCCTCGCCCTGCCCTGCCCGCGCCCGCCGTGGCCCTGCCGTGGCCCTGCCCGGCGTGGCCCTGCCCGGCCGTGGCCCTGCCTGCCCCCAGCCTGGCCACCTTGCCGTGACCATGCCGGCCTCGATGCCGTGCGGCCCCGCTGCCTCGCCAGACGACGGGCGTGGCCGCGCGCGTCTCTGCCTCGGTGCCCCGCTGCCTAAGTTGCCCCAGAGCAGGGCCTCAGGGCCTGGACGCGCGGACGCCTCGTGTTTCGCAGCGCGCTCGCTGCCCCGTCGCGCCCATCGCCCCATGCTGCCCCGCGCCTGGCCCCCCCCCGTCACTGCCTGGATGCCCTCGAAGGCCCAGTGCCTCGCCGAAGCCGTTCTAGTCGCTTCGTCGTTCCTCCACATCCATTGGTCCACCCGACTCCTCCCACCTTCCTCCGTAGCCATTCGGCTCAAGCCTCGGGAGCACTTGGCTCAGAGAAGTTTTGGGGACCGCGGGAGCCATGGCAGACGATGATGACGATGCGGACAAGGGACTGGCTGGCCTGAGCCCGGAGTTTCAGGCGATGGTTGGTGGCATGGCCGGCCACACGGCCAGTTTCGCGAAGCTGTTGGAGAAGCGGGCCGCCAAGGTGTCAAAGGAGGCCGGGAAGAAGAAGGACGACGAGGAGTTCTTCGAGTCTTACGCCGACCTCGCCATCCACGAGGAGATGTTGAACGACCGCCCCCGCTGCGAGGCGTACCGCGAGGCCATCAAGTTCCACCAGGCGGACTGGGCAGAGAGGGGCAACGTTCGCGTGATCGACGTGGGGTCAGGCACGGGGCTCTTGGCCGTGCTGTGCGCCCGCGCGAACGCGCACCACGTCATCGCCGTGGAGGCTTCCCGCCTGGCACACTTCGCGAGGCAGGTGGTGGAGACCAACACCGCCCCCGGGGCCGTGGAGGTGCGCGAGTGCCGCGCGGAGGAGCTGGCCCTGGAGGACGACGCGAAGGTGGACGTGGTGGTCAGCGAGTGGATGGGTTATTCCAGAGGCTCGCGGTCAGGAGCTTTGGCTTCGCGGCCTTGCCCCACGGGTTCTGGCTCACCACTCTTCGACGCGACACGCCATCGACGTCCCAGTCACCAAGCGTCAACGTCGCGAGCTTTTCTCAGCCTCCCGCCCTCGCGGAGCTGAGCGACACGCTATCGGCTGGCAAGGCATAACGTGTCGCCGGGGCCGCCGCCGCGACACGCTAAGCAAAAACTCCGCATCGTACGCCATTCCGCCGAACCCCAGAAGAGAAGATGTTCGGCTTCCGATGTTGTGTGCGCGCGCTTGTTGTTTGCCACTGCCCGTCGCGCTGCCTGCGTATAGCTGTTGCTGGTTCGTCCTCCTCTCCCTCCGCGCTTGCTGTGGGGCTTCTGGGGGAGGCGCTCTTGGAGGCTTGGGGAGGGCGGCGAGCGGGAGTCGGGCGGACTTCTTACTCTACGAGAACATGCTCCCCTCCGTGCTGGCGGTGCGAGACAGGTGCCTGAGGCAGGGCGGACTGATGCTGCCGTCGCGCTGCCGTCTGCTCGTCGCACCCCTGGAGGACCCGGCCTGGCGAGCGGCGCGCCTGGGCTTCTGGGGCGACGTGCAGGGGGTGGACATTCGGCAGCAAACCATGGGGGCCTCGTATACCCTCTCAATTCCATCTTTAGCGTCGACAAGCGTCGATTGGCGCCTGGGAGGCGATGAGATAGCGTCGCTTAGCGTCGATTCGCTGGAGCCGACAGGATGGTGTGGGAGGCTCCCATGATTTACCTCCGAAGGTTGACATGTCCTGCCTGCTGCCGCTGGCCACGGCCACCGCCTGCGAGAAGCCGCACCACCGCCTGGTCCCCGCCGACGGCCTGCTGGCGGGGGCGACCGAGGTGTGAGATGCTCGTTTGCGGGGGGGGGGGGGGGGGGGGTGGGGGCTTTTTTCTGGGGCAGGCCTGGCGGGCCTTTCCGATTTGAGTTCGACTCGAGCTCGATTCTGCTCCGACAGGAGCTCGCGGTTCAAGTCGGCGGACGTTCGGCGCAGCATCGAGGCACGAGCGCGGAGCGAGCGGCTCCAGGTAATTAGGCCCCCCGCGAGCGAGCATCTGCGAGGTGCTGAGCCTGGACCTGTCCACGGTCGGGGACGGGGACCTGCGGCGGTTCGAGGCCGCCCTCCGCTTCGAGTTGCCGGCCGGGCGGCGGCTGGACGGCTTCGCCAGCTGGTTCGAGTGCGAGTTCGGCGCGGCCGGCTGGCTGCTCTCGACGTCGCCGTCGCGCGAGCCGACGCACTGGAGGCAGACGGCGTTCTACCTCCGCGAGCCCATCGAGGGCGGCGGGGGCGCATCCGTGGAGGGCTCCGTCCGGATCGAGCGCGACGAGTCCTACAGCCGGGGCTACCGCGTGACGTTTGACATAGGCGCAGCCGGGCGCAAGCGGCGCGTGGAGTCCTACAAGCTCGGCTGACGGGCTCCCGCCCCCTCGCACACCGCGGTCCACCAGCCCTTTGCAGGATCGGGCCCAGGCAGCCGGGCGAAGATGGTCTTCCGACCGTAGGGATTGTTTAAAGCGAGTTTAGGTGGGATGTTGACGTGTATTCTACTTCAGACAAAAACGATGAGGGACTCCCCCCGCCGTCCTGCGCCCTCCTCCTTCCCCCTTCCCATATTATCCGTGCTCTTTCCCGCTTCCTTTACCGCCCTCCTCACTCCTCCTCGCCGTGGTCCTCCGACGACGACCGCCGATGATGACGGGATTACGGACGGAAGACGACGACCACCACTACCACCACCACGACGACAGACGCACGCACGCACGGACGGACGGATGGACGGACGGGCGACGGATGACGACGACAACGACGTTGATGACGACGACGACGACGACGACGACGACGACGACGGACGAGGACGACCACGACGACGACGACGACGACGACGACGACGACGATTACGATTTCGACGACGACGCGGACGACGACGACGACGATCTCCTGTGCCGAGGCGGCCCTCGCCGCCAGCCTGCAGGCGCGCCTGGACCGGCACGAGTCCGACACGGAGGGCCCGGGGGGCCTCCGGCAGCTGCGCGACAAGGCGAGCCCGGGGTCTTTGTTCTGCCATGACGCGAGACTGTGCATGCTCGCGTCGTGCAAACATCAGAACGGGAGGTGTTTAGCCGTTTTGGGCCTTTGGGGGCTCTTACTGGGCTCCACGACCTTGAAAAAACGACTCGGGATGCAAAATATGTCGTAAGGTCGGGACATCCAGGGGCCCCGTATCGAAATTTTCCGGACCACGCACGGGTCCTGAGGGATGCCAGTCCTCTTATTTCCCCAGTCGGAAGTCGGTTCTGGTGCTCTCTGGACACCACGCGCAGCCCCTTCACCCACCCCTCCCATCATATAATCAAGTCGCCATCCCATCATGATCGTGATCAGCATCCCCATCATCATAATCATCATCATCATCATCATCAGCAGCATCAGCATCATCATCATATTCAACTTCATCCGCATCAGCATAAACATCGTCTTTCTTCGTTCACGCACTCATAACTCACTGGCTCAGTCATTCGTCACTATCACTCAGCACCACTACTCATCATCGTCATCATCATCATCCTCATCATCGTCATCAGTACCACACCACCATCGTCATCATCATACTTATTGCCATACCATCACGTTCATCGACCATCGCTTGTCTTCATCACCACCACAAATATCATCACCATCCTCATCACCAGCATCATCTGGATTACACATTCCTTCACTTATTCTTTCTCTCTCTCTATATATATATATATATAGAGATTCCTCTCACACAGATGTTGAGGGAGTCTCGAGCGGGAGCCTCGTCTGGGAGTCTCAGGCGGGAGCCCCCTGCTCCATGGGGCCGCAGCTCATGTTAGTAAACCGAGCGGGTCATCCTGAAAATCATAACCGTTGTCACTTTTGGGCCCCTAACGCGTGAATCAGGAGGAAATTCCAAGCGGGAGCCTCGTCTGTGAGTGAAATTCGAGAATGTCTCAGGCGGGAGCCCCTTCCCTACAAGGCCCGCAGCTCATGTTAGTAACCCGAGCGGGTCATCCCCCAAAATACATGTGCCATCATGTTTGAAGGCCTCAGGTCTGAAAATGGAGGAAGTATCCAGCGGGAGCCTCATCTGTAAGTGAATTGCGAGGATGTCTCAGGTGAAAGCCCCCCCCTGGCTCTTCAGTTTTGAATGTGGGGGAAGTATCGAGCAGGAGCCTCGTCTGTGAGTGAATTGCAAGGGACCTCTGGCGGGAGACCCTTCCCTATGGGGCCCGCAGCTCATGTTAGTAATCCGAGCAGGTCATCAAATTCCCGTATGTGTCGTCACTGTGGTTCTCTTGAGGCTTGAATCTGGAGGAGGTATCGTATCCAGCGGGAGCTTCGTCCGGGAGTGGATCGCGGGGGGCGTCTCCAGCTCGCGCTCGGAAAAGGTCGCCCGTTCATGGGGAGTTCGACTCTTAGATGACCTGCCACTGGCCCTCACGGGACACCATTCCCTATGAGATTGCACTGGATGTTGGCCATCCGAGTGTTGTATGCCATGCTGGTCGTCGGCAAACTTGTAACTGTCGTCACTCCTGGGCTTCAGGCTTGAATCTGGCCCGGACGAGGGCTCAATGTCCTCTGTCGTTACCAAGGCTCCCAGAACGCAGGGTGATGTGAGCCCTCGCGGGCACATCCGAGCGGGATCATCTTGGGTTCTTTAGCGGGCCACTCGCTCGACCCACCAGAGGAGGTGGAACGGGAGGGCACAGGAATGGAAAAGGAGACCCGCGGCCGGGCACGGCGGGAAGCCCTTGTGTCCTGGCCGCGGGTGGTAACCCGCCCGCGGCCGAATCGGGCGCGGAGTGAAACCCTTGCGTCCAGGGCGCCGGTTGTGACCCATTGGCGGCCGAATCGGGCGCAGGGGCAAACCCTTGCGTCCAGGCTGGGGGTGGTAGTCCATCCTCGGCCGAATAAGGGGACATGGGGAAACCCTTGTCTCCGGGCTGGCGGCGGTAACCCATCGCCAGCCGAATCGGACGCCAGGGGAAAGCCTGTGCGTCTGTGCAGACGGTGGTAACTCATCGCCAACCGAATCGGGCGCAGGGGGAAACCCTTGCGTCCGGGCGGGGGATGGTAACCCATCGTCCGCCGAATCGGTGGCATTGGAAATCCTTGCGTCTGGGCCGCCGTCGACCCGTACAGGCTTAGCGGGCGGCGCGAGGAAGAAAAAGATGACAGGCAGGCGGTGGACGTGGTGAGCCCGGAAGGCCAACGCTTCCCTGACACCTTGACGGCCTACGGGCACGACGTCGCCACCAGGGCGGCGCGCGACGCGCCCGATCATCGCCAGGTCGCGTCGCTTCCGGCGGAGCTCATGCAGGACATGGGTTGCGAGAGCGAAGGGGCCCCGAAGGCGGAGGACGGTTTCTGCGTCGAGAAGTCCACGGGCACGCTGGACGACTGGCCGCATTGCGGTGGCGACCCGGTCCTCGAGCACAGGAGTTTGCAGGTGCGCGCAATGTGGATCTACCGTTGCGAGCAGCCCGACGGCCTGTGGAGAGACACTTGGCCTTCGACTTCGCGTCGCACTACGCGCTGTACGTGACCCGCAAGCAGCGCCCAGCCCCCGTGATCCGACGATGAACAAGGATTGCGAGACGGCGTGCTTGTACAAGAAGTTGCTCCTGAGGCCGTTGGGGGTGGAGAACGCGACGACGCCAGAGGACGAACGCAAGCTGCTGGCGCTCGCGCCCCTGATTGAGGCCCCCGACGCGCCCCGTGACAAGAATGTGCGCGGGTCCATTTGTTTCGCGCGATCATGGACGCACTGCGGGGCTCAGGAGGACGAGGAGGTCCGCGTCGCCGCGGCCCGTTTCCTCGTGCGGCACGAATGGCCCTCGATCTGGGAGACGACGCAGGAGGTGCAAGAGGAAATCTTGGCGCTGCACCGATCGCGAGCGGAGGGCAGCTCGCTGGACCCCGCCCGCTGCCCCGACTGGGAGAAACCCAGGGCGACGGCGCGCCAGTACGTCTCTATGATGGCCATGCAGGTGGCGCCAAACCTCGAGGGGGTCGCCCCTGCGCGCGATGAGAAGAAACCCCGTCGGCACCAGAGCGACGCAGCCGCGCAGAGCGCGCACCTCAAGCCGACCACTGGTGGAGGCGGCGGTCACGACGAGGGCGCCGAGGCGGGCGAGGGCGTGGAACGCCTGGACGCGCCTCCCTCGGCGGTCCGGGTGCACTTCTAGCCGGTCTTGACGCGGGGTGTCGACGCGGGGCAGGGCGCGTTGGACGCGCTGATTTTGGCGCACCGCAAGCGCCTCGCGAAGTTGGCCAAGGAGCTTCCCGCGCACGTCCGAGAAGGCCCGCGAGGGCGCGGGCGATCCTGGGCCGACGGAGGCCGCGACCGCTCCTGCTAGCTGCTTGGTGCCGACCTTTCGTGACGGCGGCGCGCGGTGCGCGACGCACCTTCGCAACCCTGCGCGACGACCGCCTCGAGGGCAGTCGCGACGAGGATGACGTGGGCGCCGACGACGGCGCGAGCGAGGGCGCTGGCGGCCTGGGCGGCGCCGCTGCTGCGGCCAATTTCGACGGCAACGCGTGCTCCACGCCTGGCGCGCGCACCGCCGCCCCGGGACGTCGTAAACGAGTTCCTGAACGACGGACTGCGCGAATGCGCGGAGCCGCCGACGGTGGGGATTCAGCGCGCCGTTACCGTCTTCTCTCAGATCCCTTGAGTTATCGAGCTCAAAACGCACGAAGCGCCTCGACCCCGGGGCCCTCTGATCGCGCTCTTGAGCTGCACGCGCGAGGGCAAGCCCTTCCCATCAGCGGTCTGGTCCGCTTGGGAGAAGACGCTGGCCCCGGACAGCCGCGGCGTCGTGGGCCTTCGGCGCCAGCGCGAGAATTTTCGGCTCGGCTACGGCGTGGGCACATACTGGGAGACGCTGGCGAGGTGGATCAACGCGCGCACTTGTCGCGACGCGCGGCGTCTCGACGCGCTCGTTGTTTTCCTGCAGGCCGCAGACGGGCGCAGCGCGATTCGTCGCGATCCGGACGCGGACCGGCATCTCCTGAACGTTCCGAACGCGCGCGAGACGGGAGACATCAACGGCGTCTTTCTGATCACGGAGGTGCGGTTCACGGCCGCGCAGGAGGAACTGAAGGAGAAAATGGGGCTCACGCAGGAGCAACGGGCCAACGTCGCGCTCCTCGAGTCTCACCCAGACGACGAGCGGGGCTACCAGGAGCGCGCGCTGGCCCAGCTCGTTCGCCCCTGCTCCCTACCGCAGAGAATCTGGATGCAGGTCCACGGCTCCAAGGAGCCCCCAAACTACCAGGAGATTGCCGAGTTGCTGCAACAGGGCGCCGACGGCGACGGCGAAGCCGAGGCGCGGGCGAGGAGCTGGCTCATGTTCAGGCTCAGCGAGCAGGAGCTCACGCGGCA